CCTGCTTGGCTCCTGTCAGCGCCTTCTCACTTCAGGTGCTGATTGCATCAGCCTTGACAGCTGCAATCCCCACCATATTTAGCCACTATGAAACTTTGCTTCCTGATCGATTCCCAACTCTCCTTTGAATCACACATCCAGGCAAAGATACACTCAGCCTTCCGCCACCTCTGCAACATTGCGATCTCCGCCACTGCCTTTCCTTTCAGGCTGCCGAGATCCTCATTTATGCATTTATCACTTTCAAGCTAAATGACACAAACTTGCTGCTCGCCAAACTTCCCAACTCTTTCCTCCATAAGCTACAAAAAAAAATCAGAACTCTGCAGCTCATGTTATGTCTCATACATAGCTCTGTGAATTGATTACTGTCATCCTCTCCCAGCTCTACCAGCTCCCCATCCCACAGAGTTTCAATTTTAAAATCCTCGTCCTAACTTTTAAAGCCCTCCATCAACCAGCTCCTCCATATCTCTGCGACCTATCAACACCACACCAACCTGTCCATTCCCTCTGCTTGGCCAGCACAAACCTGCTCCATAACCCATTGGTGGTTGGATCTCCAGGTCTTCTATCCATGCCCTCTGGAACTCCATCCAGAATCCCTCTGCCTCATCCTCTCCGTTGCTTCTTTCAAGCCTCGTCTCAACACTTTCCTCTTTGATCGTGCTTTCGGCCACCATCCCACCCCCTCCCCTCACCACTCTTGATTCGAACTCCCATCTCAAGTACAAACCCTTGACTGTCCCTTGCCTTGAGATCTCCTTCCGACGTGAAAGGTGCTTGATAAGTGTAATTTTGTTGTTGTTATTGTTAACTAATTCCAGCTGTTAGTTATTCTCTGTAAAAGAAAGCTTCCTGTTCTGTTTCCCTTCACAATGATGATACTAATGCCCTCTTGTCTTGCTTCTTTTTATGTTAAACATTCATTCACAATTGCAGTACATTTGAATTATATTGGTGTTGAACTCTATTTTGTCCACATGATGACGCTGTTCATTGAATCCCATAGAATACAATACAAAGAAACATTGCTGTAACACGGTCGACTAGGTCCAATGTCTCACTGACTGGGTTATAATTAGGTGTGATAAAATGGCCTTCTTTAGGTCAATAATCTTAATAACAGTGGGCTCAACCCATCAAAAGTTTGTTTTACAATTTCTGTCTTTTAGACTGTATGTGGATGATGGCTAATTTATGGTCGATTCACCATAGGGTAGACAAGCTATATTCTACTATGGGATTAACCAACACCACGTATTAGACAGCAGGTTGTTTGGAGCACATAATAAGAACATAAGAACATAAGAATTTGCACGACGAAAGAAGAACAAGGTCTATCTACTTTGCCTTCCACCATCCTGACAGCCACTTGACATGTCATGTCCCTAACTATACACTGTATCCCAAGATATTATTTTCTAGCAGAAATCTATCTCATTTGTTCTTGAAACAAATGACATTTTCTGCTTCCACTGTCTCCCTAAGGAGCCTGTTCCATAAGTTTTCTACTCTCTCCCCCAAGTAGTGTTTCCATAGATTGGTTCAGTCGCAGGCCATGCCCTCTGGTTCTGCTGTTCAGCACAGGATAAAACAGCTTATCGTGGTCTACATTATCTATTTCCTTCAGAATCTTAAAGACCTTAATCATATTCGCTCTTCAACATTCTCTTTTCCAGTGTGAACATGTCCAGTTATTTAATTGCTCCTCATCGTCCAGTCCCTCCATCCCCTCAATCATTTTGGTTGCCCTCCTCTGTACCTCTCAATCGCTGCAATATCCTTCCTATATTGCCGTGACCAGAACTGCACGCAGTATTCCAAGTGCTTTCGCACCAGTGATTGATAAAATGGCTGAATTGCCCCAGTATTTTGGCTCATATTGCCCTTTTAATACAGCCGAGCATCTGGTTTGCCTTCTTCACTGCTACCGAGCACTGTTGGGATAGCTTGATTTTATTAACACTCAGGATCCCTGGATCCTTTTTTATTTTCCGTACAGAAGATTTTCTTACCATTTAAATAATAGTCACTTCCTGGATTTTTTTGTCCCCATGTGAAAAGCACTTTCATTTCTCTACATTTTAAATTTTAATAATAATCCTTGCATTTGATATGGTGCCTTATCACAATGTGGAGATGTTTCAAATAACTTCAAAGAACATGTGTAAAGTGGATTGACTGTACATTTTGTGGATATAAACATGCTACCAGTTGCGTTTCCTGGGGGTGTGTATGTACATTTGTGGGGGGAAATCCTAGGCTTTAGATTGTGATTCTATGAGAATGGGATCATTTTTCTATTTTTATACTACTTCCAATTATCAAAAGAAGCAATTTTAAACAAGTGCTGTATTATTGATAACATTGGGAGGATATTCCAAAGTGTTTTACAGGATATACTGTATGAGAAAACAACAGCTCCTCTGCTTTGAGAGAAGACCAGCAGCAGAGCAGATATTTAGTTTCAACACAAAGGCTGTAATGTTGGCATAAAGCCTGACAAATCATATTCTCGGTGGTCTTGTGAGAAACACTGTTTGATTCTTTTCCCCAAAAAATCTTCAAGATGCGTGGAGTTGTTTGGCTACTGAAGGGCACGTAGTTTATATCAGTTGATACACCTACCTTGCCACTCTGCTGGACTCGTGAACCCATAATGAATGTACCCTAGTACCTGATGGCAGAAACCCTCAGGGACGCTACCCCAGGTGAAGGGCGCTATATAAATGCAAGTTGTTGTTGGTGGTGGACAAAGAACATGAGGATTCTGTGTGGCTATTTTCCCCAGGGAACACACTTCACGTTTCCAGAAAACGGATGGGGAGATGAGAAGGGGGTGGCATTCGCAAAGACAGCAAAGTGAATCCCCTCAAATTTGGATTTAAAAGAGTCCATTGTCTCCTCACATTTGGAGTTGGAGGAGAGGACGAGCGATCAAGCCTTGGGAAGGTGGGCAGAGGAGCTGGGTTGTGGTACGTATGTCCAATTATAACCACTGGGTGGCGATTTAGCAAACTGCGTTAAGCTGAAATATATTACACGATATTGTATTATTTTATGTTTCCAACTGTGGACTCATTAGCAACGCTGTAGATCATTGGATGGAATTGCATTACAATGTATTACCTTATTGTGGCCATCGGTTGATGGGGCAGAGAACTGGGTTGAGTTATATGAAATTGTCATAGTCAAGTGTGGTCACTAAGCCAGGAGAACCAGACATATTCATGTTATACCCAATTGTAACCATATGGTGGTTCTTCAAATGAATAGATTGAATTATTGTATATTAAAGAATAATATCTAAGTTTGGTCACTGGTAACATATGAGTTGATATGGACTGAATTATGCAGTATTATTGTGTAATGCCTGATTGTTGCCACACACTGATTGGAAATGTTTATATAGTGCTGTAATTTCCAGTTTTTCTTCAGAATATTTGAAAATTGATAAAGAAATACAATTCAATATTTGTGCACTGACTTTATTCTGTTCCAATCTTTACAATCGAGGATTTCATCTGCAGCATTTGTTTTAATATTTTTCATGTTGTAAATTTATTTACAAATTATGACTATAAGATTCCAACAATGCTTTGAAAATTATTTTTAAATCAAAATAACATCAACATGTTTCATAATTGTTAAATTTAGTAAAAGATAATGTGCATACAGTAATACAGATTATTTTCAAAAGAATAAAACTCAGTAATACATGTCAAAAATGTGATCCATTAATACAGTGAACATTGATCTCAAGTTCATTATTTAAAAAGGAAAATTCATAAAAAGAGAATGCTAAAAGATTCCTGGAACTCAGTTACATTTCAAGTGTCTTTGTATAAGTCTTTGTGTTGTTCGTATAATGCTTCAGGTTGATTAAAAAAACATTCATAATGATATTAACAAATTAATACAGTGCAGCTTTTAGCAAATTACAATGTGAATTTTCCCCAATGACTCAAATGCATATTTTCTGTAAAGGAAAATCACCAAAATATTTGTCTATCCTCATTTATACCACATTTCCTCCTCTGCTGCTGCACTCCTTTCAAATTCTGCATCTATATTTAGATGAAATTCTACAATCATATCCAGATAGCACAGATAATTAGACAAAACACCTCCACTGAGAGATACAAATGAGACAAACAACTAATTTGTATTTTCCAATTATTTTTCCAACATTCCTGATTCCAACACCAGTCATATCAATCAATTCATAAAAATGTCAGAGAATATTCATTATTGGAAACGATAATACTTATACTTTTTGACTTTACAATGAAGTGAAGTCACAATAACTGCAAACAACAAATTACAGTTGTGTAGCACAATTCATGTCAGGATATGTCCCAAAGTGCTGGACAGTCAGGGGTTTGCACCCAAGCTGAAGTCTGGGGTCAGAAGGCGTCAAGGGTAGGGAAGGTGGGTGCTGGAAGGTGCCAGAAGTTGCGGTTCTTTAGATGGATTTTGAAGGAGCCAAGGGAGGGGGCAAGGCATTGGGAATGTGGGATGGAGTTCCAAAAGCATGGGAGCAGAAAGGCAGAAGGCTTGACTGCCGATGATGGGGCGGGTAGGACGGGGTCATAGAGTAGGCCAGAGTCCAGAGCAAGGGGCATAATCTTCAAATTAAAGCTAAGCTAATTGGGAGTAGAATCAGGAGGCAATTTTTCATTGAAAGGTAGTGGAAATCTGGTGGATGGAGGTGGATAGATGTTTATTAAGTAAGTGTAGTCCTGTAGCTCAGTGGTTAGAGCACTCGCTTTGCAAGCGAGAGACCTGGGTTCGATTACCGGCAGGGTGAAACCTTGGGCAACTTTCCTTACTCCACAAGCCTGATAATAATCCCTCAAAAAAAACAATAATAAACTGGTCATTTCAATCCACGACTGATTGTGGGACACTGCTGTGCGAAATTGGCTGCCGTGTTTCACCCAGAAATATACAGTCAACTCATTTTACAGTCTATTCTGTGAAGCGCTTTGAGACGTCAAGAAAACGTGAAGATTATTATTAGAATTGTATTAAGGGATATGGGCAAGTTAATTGGAGTAGAGATTCAGATCAGCCGTGATCTTATAGAATGGCGTAACAGGCCCAGGGGGCTGAATGGCTTACTTCTGCTCCTATGCTCCTAGACTGCTGAACGTAGGCCGTGTGGGGTTAGCAGGTCACAGAGCTAGGGAGGTGCAAGGCCATGGAGGGCTTTGAATGCGAGGATGAGGATTTCGAACTCTACAAAATTAAAATCTGTATGAAAGTGGCAGAAAAGTTTATCTATTCTGAATGAGATATGATTATCAAATATCATCATTCTCCAGTAAATGGGGAATATAATCTTGATTTGACTGGATGAAGCGCTGTACAATGCTGTATTATTTATGCATTATTTACAACTGAGTAAACTCATCAGGAACTTCCTCAAAAGACTTGTTCAATGGCATAGATGTTTCCCCAGAATGAACTTGGAAACCTTCCTCTTCAAACAGTGATACCAGAGTGGACACTGTTGATTTTGGATCAAGAAATGTTACTAGTGGCACACTGACATTCTTTTCCTGGTGAATCCGATTCTGTATGGTCATTCCTATCATGGAATCAATGCCAAAACTGGAGAGAGTAGATTCTTTGGTAAAGTCTGTAGGATCTGTGTTACTCACTTCAGACAACAAGGTTATTATATACTGTTCAGGAGGTATTGATGAGTCACTGACCACCACTTTGACATTTCCTTTGCTGATCTCTTCCTGCATAATTGAATGGAAACGTCTCCCGCTTGATGGGTTTTGGGAGAGATTAACATATATATTTGAGAAATCAAATTTACAGATTACTTGTTGTGGATTGTTCAGGGTCAAACAACGTTCAAAGCTTTTAATGATTTCAGAAATTTCTATTGCCAAAATCCCTTTCAACTCCAGAAATTTCCGAACGTTGTCTTTATTGAGCAGCAGCCCGAGATTCAGTGCTCCCCAGTTCACAGATTGCCCCACAAGCCCATGGCATCGCCTAAAGTGGACAAAGTAATCAAGAAATGAGTTTGCTGCAGAATAGTTAGCCTGTAGAGATGTTCCAATGAATGAAGCAACTGAGGAAAAGCACACAAAGTACTCCAGCTGGAGGCCTTGTGTTGCATAGTGAAGATTCAAGACCCCAGCAATTTTGGGAACAAGAACCTTATCAAACAATGATTTATTTAGATCTCGAAGGAGTGAATCATGTAAGACCACAGCACTGTGAAACACTCCTTTAACAGAAACCTTTGGGAAGGAGTGAAGAAAATTACTGATTGCTTTCTCGACATTTGACAGAGCTGAGATGTCACAGGCCACGCAAATGATCCTTGTCCCAATTTCATTCTGTAGTTTGCTAAATTCCTCCTGCTTCTCCTTCGATGGAGAGCTCCTTGAAAGAACAAGAATATAGCCACCGCCATGGTTGGCAATGAATTTCACAGTTTCAAAGCCAAGACCGGTAAGTCCTCCAGCAACTATATACACAGCATCACTTTTAAAGAGCTGCTTTTGTCTGCAGTGCATTGGAATCTCTGACATCCTAGTCTTGGTGGTGCTCTTCAGAACTGCAATGGAGACATCTCTGCATGTAAAGTACGACTCATTCCTGCACTCAACCATGTCTGATATTCTTTGCTGGAAGATCATTTTTGATAGATCAAAACGTTTCGTCCCTAAATACATTGTTCTCATCCATTTATAGATACGATTTGCAGATTTCATGAGATAGCCCTTTTGAAATATACTGGCTAACTGCAGAACATGAATACAGACATTGTCCTTTTCATTTTGGAGAATGTCTTGGGAAATATCAAGCATCTGCTTGTTGTCCAGGAGAACAACAATATCCGAGCAGAAGAACCATTGACATATTTTGAAATAGAGGTTTTTTCAAAAGGTGGCAATAAAACCAAAGCATCACAGTGAACTGGAATCTGTACAAGGTCATTGGAGTGTGGATAAACCTGAACTCTCCAGCCAGACTCCCTGGCTGTCAGAGACAAGACTTTACTCAAACACGAATCAGGTATCATGGAAACAATTACCAAGCGTTTCTGATGTTTGGGTTTTGGTAAGAGATTATGGAATATTTCCCATGCTATTGTGAAGTATGACACACAAGGGATCTCCTTCAGCAATGGTACTTTCTTGCTTTTGAAACAAACAACAGCAGGAAGGCTGACATTTGAAGCTGCAGGAACCGGGTAACATGCAACAATATGATCTCCCACTTTGCAACTCTTCACATCACTGCCAACAGCAGTGACTGTACCACTAAAGTCCAGAGCCACGAGATTGTGCCCACCAAACACACTTTTGCTCCAGTACAACGTCTTCCCATAGTTTAGATCAGAGACACTAACTGGGAAGTAATCCGCTGAATGCATGCAAATTGCATCCAATTCAATGTGTACACTTTGTTTTGTGGGTGCACTCATTTTGTTCTCTTGAGGTTTGGCATGCAAATCCACAACATTGTAAGGATCCATGATCTGGAAAAGGACATTTCCCAAACCAGAATAAGAAGTCCCACCATTGGTATTGTCTGAGATTATAAGGGATGTTCGTGTGATCGTGGAAGCATGCAACATTCCCTGGCTGATCATTACCTCAGGGTGGGTCACCCCATCAGACAAGACTATTACATTAGCTAATGCTGCCATATCTGCATCACTGATAGAGCTGACATCAATGATCTGAAATAAAACCTCTGGAATTTCTGCATTGCATGATCTCGTCATACCCCACAGGGCAAACCCTGGAGTAATTTGATCCACTGTTTTTTCAGACGTCCTGTATGTTATTACTCTAACAGATTTTGTGCCATTTTTCCCTCGAACTAGCTGAATGATCTGACGATAAATCTCACAGCAGCTACTGACCTCCTGCACCACTGCTGTGCTGGTCTGGTCAGTCAGGTTGACAGTCCCCCACAGGAAGAACACCTCCTCATAGCTATTCAGGTTGTGGGCCTTGTACTTTCTCAGAAGATCCACAACTTCTGTACCAGTGAAATTGTCATATTCCTGGTAAGGAATATATGTGGACTGACTGTGGAGGAACTTCTTGAGGCTTTCAGCCACTCCATAGTTATCACCAAACACGAGTGATCTTGGGCCAGAAGCAAGATTTTTGCCCTCTTGAAGGTGAGGAATTTCTACCCAGATACTTTCATAGAACAAATCATTGATTCCTCCTCCATTGTTTCTCTTTGACCGTGCCTTCAGCTCCCCTCTCGACTCTCTTCCTCCTCCTCGCTCCCTCCCTTCCCTCCCCTCACCCTGACCATTTCCCCCCTCCTCTCTCCCTCCCTTCCCTCCCCTCACCCTGACCATTTCCCCCCTGCTCGGGTCATGACCCAACTGTGCAGCGCCTTGGGACGTCCTCCTGACGTGAAAGGCGCTCTATAAATGGAATCTTGTTGTTGTTGTTGTTCACGGTTAGAAATGTGGTTCTGATATTTTTCAGTTCGGCAATGATTATGCCCTTTGTATCTGTGAAGCCCCCACAGACCTCCAGATAATCTGGAGTGATTTTACTGATCCTCAGATACATCAGCATTTCTTGTTGTAAAGGGCGATGAATAACCAAGCTCCCTACAGATGTGGGGAATCCTATGGTGGAGACTGCAAACATCATTGTGACAACAGCAGCCATTTGTAGAAAATAGTCAAAAATGATTGGGTGAAAGGAGTATTGATGAATCTGTGACATGAGCTCTTCTGGTACTCTAATGCATGTTATAGCTTCCTTCAAATTCTCTCCATAGAAGATATCCCCAAGTTGCCTAAAAACTGATCCATACTGAAAGCCTGAAGAAGAGAGTTCTTTATAGATGTCCTCTGGCTTTGCTTTCGATTTGCATCTTTGGAAAATTTGCTCAACCGAGATATTACTTTCATCAGTTACACACTCAGTGACCTGTAGTACCTCCCCTGTGGCATAAATGCCAGAAGTTGATAAAACACTAAATTTGATCAGTTTATCTTCTCTGTTGAGGTGCACTTTGAGCTCAACTGAGTTCTGGTGGATTATACAAGGATTCAGAAACTTTGCGCTGATCCGGCACAAAGTGAGTGGTATCTTTGGTTGAATACTTGCCAGGACGGAAGCCACACCAAGTTCTACATGAAAGGCACCGGGAAGTATGGGCACTCCATTGTTTTTGTGTTCAGCTACATAAGGTACTGTCAATGTTGACAAGGTGAAGTTATATTCCTTGCCGTCCTTGCTTACACTAGAGAGTAGGGGGTGATGGGAAGAAACTACCTTGTCATTATCTTGCCTAAGTTCTTCAAAGTTTAATTCCTGCTTTGTGTGATCAAACACATAAGAAGGATAAACAGTGGGAAGAGTTTCACGACCAACATAGACATTTTGCCAGTTGGGATTGTACCCGAGCTCAAAGAGTTTTGATAGAACCAATAGATGAGTTTCATAATCTCTGTCTGGCTGAACTGCAGGAAAAACTCGAGTTTGATTGCCTAGGATTTCTGTGATGTATCTTTGCAAGGCCCGTCTTGGTCCTATTTCTACAAATACTGCGTCTTCAGCCTCTGCAGCAGCAGCTCTTATCCCTTTTTCAAAGGCAACAGGATCTCGAATGTTCCGGGCCCAATATTTGCCTGTGAGAAAGTCATCTCCTGAAGCCACCTGACCTGTAACTGTGGAGATAACCTTTGAGCGTGCTTCTTGTTCATGTAAGTTACCTACTTTCTCTTCTACCTGCTGTATGATTGGCTCCATCAAGTGACTGTGATAAGCTGCTGGAACATCTAAAATGCGAAGGAATATATTTTTGTCACCAAATGCGGTGGATAACTCTGTATACAGTTTGTCCACTGCACCGGCATCACCTGACACTGTGCAAGAGGAGGGACTGTTGAATGCAGCAATACAGATTCTCCCCGAATATGGAACAAGTCTGTCTGACACATTTGACACAGGCAAATTGCTAACAGCCAGCATTCTGCCTCCCGTTACTGTTGACTGCAATACACTTCTGTAGTAAATCACCTTTACAGCATCGTGCAAGGACAGTGTCCCAGCACAATGTGCTGCAGCAACCTCGCCAACAGAATGTCCAATCATAAGGTTAGCCTGGATTCCCCAAAACCCCAAAAGAGAAACCATTGCCACCTGAACAGCAAAGAGCAATGGCTGTGCTATCTCGGGTTTTGTGAAGTCATCATAGTCATTTTCAATTAAATCTATTAGATTGATGGGTGTGTGTAGTTGGAGAATTTTTTCTATCTCTTCAATCTGTTTCCTGAACACTGGCTCTGTGTGTACAAGCAGTTTACACATCCCTCTATAGGCAACACCGTTGCCACAGAACACAAATACGATCTTTGGACTTGTCTTTATCCGAGCAACATCAGTAACTGTGGCTGATTTAAGCTGCTGCTGTAGGTGATTGAGGGAAGAAACTACAAAGGCTTTTCTGTATCTATAACTTGCGTGGCTTCTTCTACAAGCAGATGTATATGCCAGACTATGGAAAGCGGTATCATCACTTTGACTTATTTGGTGACTTGTGTCTTTTATCATCATTTGAATTGATTTCTGGGAGGCAGCTGAAAGGACAAATATCTCCAGTGGTTTCTGTGCACAGTTGAGCCGGGCAAGCTGCTTGTACTGTCTCACCACTGCGTGAGCATTTGTTCCCCCAAACCCAAATGAATTGACTCCTGCCATCCTACCCATCTCCCCACGCTTTTCCCAGTTTTCCACACTAGTTGGAACACGTAGATTCAAAGCCTTTGCATTGATGCTTGAATCCTCCTCAGTGTAGTGGAGGGATGGTACAATTTTGCCATGATGCATCATCAGGAGAACTTTGATTAAACCTGCGGCTCCTGCAGCTGACTCTGTGTGACCAACATTCCCTTTGACAGAGCCTATGATGAGCGGATCAGGGTTTGATGTCCTGGACTGACCAACAATGTGTGATATGCTGCCGGCTTCTGTAGGATCACCAGCTGGAGTTCCAGTTCCATGAGCCTCCATGTACTGTATCTGGGATGGATCAACATACCTGTGGTAAATCCACTTCAACAGTTCTTCCTGCTGTGTTTGTGAGGGTCTGGTGATAGGTGTAACTGATCTTCCATCTTGATTGATAGCACTGTGCACTAGGACACCCCAGATGTGATCATTGTCTTTCAGTGCCTATTAATTGGATGAAAGAATAGAATTACCGAATGTTTCAGCACAAAAGGAAGCCATTGTATGTGGGTTCCTTACTGGACCTATGCACTCTAATCCCCTTTGCCCTGCTCAGTCCTATAAACTTGAAACTTATTTTGTTCAAATAATCCAGCCATTAGCATAAAATATTCAACATTTTAACAATAATTTCTTCTTTGTTCTGGTATTATTTTGACATATTTCAAAATATGTTCTTCTGTTTGGCACTCCGAAGAGTACCCCGTCTTAAAATTTCCTTTAAGTGCTCTTAGATTCATTCCCGTGTGAATGGTTCCATATAATGCTGCTTGTTTTTGTTTTGCTATTGACTGAATGAATAACAATTGAAATTTTGTAATGCGTTTGTGAGGGTCTGGTGATAGGTATGACTGATCTGCAATCTTGATTGATAGCACTGTGCACTAATACACCCCAGATATTATCACCTACAAATTCCTCCATGGCCTCACCCCACCCTACCTCTGCAACCTCCTAACCCCCTACCAACCCGCCCACTACCCTCCGCTCAGCCCGCTCCAGCCTGCTCCAACTCCCCCGACCCACCCGCTCCACCATTGGCGAGAAAGCCTTCAGCCACTCTACCCCCAACCTCTGGAATTCCATCCACTAATCACTCCGCCTTGCCCCCTCCTTTGCCTCATTGAAGTCCCGCCTCAAAACCCTCCTCTTTGACCATGCCATCGGTCACCCCCTTCCTCTCCCCTCCCTCTCCCTGACACCAGCTCAGGCCTGAAATGCTGCCCAGCGCCTTGGGACATCCTCCCAACATGAAAGGCACTATACAAATGTAATCTTGTTGTTGTCTTTCAATGCCTATTAAAGCAATGAATGAATAGAATTAAAGAATGTTTAGACCACCAAAGGAAGCCAATATCTTCCTATTGCTATTAGCCCCCAAATTCCTGTAGGGTCAAGGCATGATAACCTGGAAGTGCATCCTGTGTTTGAAAAGTGATTGGATGGACGAGTTCAGGAATACAATTGAATAATCGAACTGTGAACTCTAATTGGGCAATTCAGGTATCGGCAGCGCAGTAATGGTGAAAGGATATGAGACTGAGCCGTTCGCCATCAGGTCTGGAGTAAGGCAGGTCTGTCCCCTATCCTCCACCGGGATTGTCTGCTGCATCAAATCCTTTGCTCAGGCCATCAGGAGGGACGAGAGCATCAGAGTAGTCACCAACCCAGGCAGCCACAGCGAACAAGCCAAGTTCTCCCTGTATATGGATGATGTCGCCATCTTTTGCACAGACTAAGAATTGGCCTCGAGACTGCTAGGCATTTGCAACTGTTTTGAGCAAGTCTCAAAAGCAAAGGTCAACTGCCAGAAGAGTGAGGTGATGTATTTTGGAGACTGGAAAGAATGCAGTCACATACCATTTGCAGTGAAGCCAGACTGCATCAAAGCCTCGGCATCTCGATTGAGGCTGCCGGGGAGTGCCAAAAAAGCTGGGAGGAGAGTCTAGGTGTAGCCAGGAAGAAATTGGTGATGTGGCGCCTGAGCTCATTGTCCATCACCGGAAAAAAATCTGGTGATAAAGTGTGAGGCCCTCTCGATGTTACTGTACGTGATCCAGGTCTGGCCTTTGACCAAGAACAACGCCACTGCAATCACTAGACAGGTCTTCCATCTGATTTGGGGGGGGGGGTCTGAGGTGGATCATGTCCGCAGAGACACTCTGCACAAAACTCCGGAAAGGGGGGGGAAAAGGGGTCCCCAACATAGCCCTGATCTTCATGGCCACCTTTGTGTGTAACTTCCCGAGGCTGTTCCTGGAACCCTGCTACGATGGCACAAATGCTGTTACACGATGGGTTTCTTCCTGTAACCGGTGCTAAGAAGGGTGGGTCTGGCAGAACTGCCTCGAAACGTTCCACACAGTTGGAGCATGCCGAACCACCTCGGGGAGAGGACCGACCGAATCGGGAGGTACCCTGAGGGGACGGCCAGCTACAAAACTCCTTGTCTCTGGCCCTGACCAACAACAATCCTGACATGGCCTGGCTGACAAAAAAAGGAGCCCCACCCCTCAGAGCTTTCATGCTTGGTCAAGGTCTGGGCCAGTCAGCAAGTTGCCCTCGGGTTGGCTGCAGAGGCCAGGAACCATGGACCACCTCTTCCTGGAGTGTTGTTTCTCAAAGGCGGTTTTGAAAAAGATGGAAAGGAGACTCTTGCAGTTCATCCCTGGGGACCCACTGTCACGGCACTCGGTGTTGTACGGCCTCTTCCTGAACACTTACTGCGAAACTAACATTGAGTGTGCCTGGAGGATCATAGACTCGATAAAGAAGGCCCTTTGGCTGTCCTGAAACCAGATGTTCTTTTGGCAAAATGAAGGCCTGCCTCAGGCTCATGCTAATGATAATGTAGCTCATGCTACATGATCAGGAACTATACACTGAGGGAGAAGTTGAAGTCTGGCTCAACCATGGCAAAGGCCAGATGGGGCCTAACCCTGGGAGGAGCTGCTCCGGCACAAACAACACAGGGCACACCAGCTGAATAGCCCACAAGTTCACCCAAAACTGACTGAAGTAAGGGTACAGAAGGACGCTCGAGATGTAATCAGAGAATGTCCTGAAAATGTATGTACAGTAAACATGTGCTTGTATAGTGCACCTCAGGGCGCCTTCCGAAAACGGCAAGTGTGGCTTATCGGGGTGTTTGCGGGCGCGCAATGGAGGTGGGGTACACAGGGGTGACTCCTGACTGTTTTAAAGGGAGCATCCCGAAAAACATGTGCACAACATATGTGCGGTGAAGGAATGTACCATAAACAACAGAATGTGCTTTGTATCGGGAGAAAAGGAACAAATTGAAACAGAAGATGTTGTACGTTGTGTTTGTTTTGGATTTCTGTTGTACCAAATATTATATTTATAAATAAATATATATTTTTAAAAAAGTAATTCAGTTATCAGTGCTGTATGGCTTCTTCCCAGGCACCCACAGCGAGACCTACATCAAGTACACCTGGAGGATCATCAACTCAGTGAAGGAGGCCCTTTGGCATTCCCGAAATTTGGTGATCTTCCAGTGGAACGAGGGGATAGAGAGGGCCTGCCTCAGGATTGGGCATCCTCAGATTAGGGCCTGAGGGACACACTGAAGCTCAGCTCAACCACGGCAAAGGCCAGATGGGGCATGTCCCCAGCCAGAACCGCACCTGCACTAGCCGTGCTCAGGTTGGCATCACATCCCCACGTGCCAGGAAACCTACCAGTGAGAGGGAGACATCGGGCAAGCTCATCGGGTAACCCACGAGCACACCCAACACTGAATAAACGTGTGTGTAACCACATAAATATACAGAGGGACTCTCGAGATGTAACAGAGTTTCTCGAACATGTAATGTAAATGTATATGTCTGTCTGCCCCCTCCCATGAAGGGGAGAACGGCAGGGAGCGAGGTAAAGGGTCACCATCCTGTAAAAGGAGCCCAGACTAGACCACCAGTGTAACTGCTGCCCGTAGAGAAAGGAAACAGAACCCCAACAGGGACACTGCAGTGACAGGGGACTGGTATATATTATATGTGTATGGGTTTGTGTGTTTGGGAAAACGTGTGCGTATGGTGCACATCGGGGGGGCATTTGAAATCAGCAAGTGTACCTTATCAGGGTGTGTGCGAATACCCTCATGTAGTGCACACAGGGGCGATTCCTGACTGTCTTAAAATGAGCGTTGCAAATAAGAGGGGAGGGATAGGGGATAGGGAGATGAGTATAAGACCACATTTGTATCTGCACCCTGCAAAGGGCGGTAGCACCCTGAGGCAACAAAGCCTTGGTTCCTCCACCAAAGTGGAGTGTGCAGAGGCCCCTGTCCCACCACAAGGGGCCGGGTCTGGTGCATCCAGTAACGGGATAATAACATTTGGCATCTTTTCTGTAATAGGTTTCATACTGCCTGAGATAAGTGCAAATATAACAAATAAATTAATATATTTTGTAAAAAAAATGACAATGGTTCTGTAGGAAACCTAGAGCAATAAATTCATGCAGTAGAGAGGATAATCTATAAATTGTAATTTGAACCTGGTTTCACACATGCAGCTCTGCAGAGAAACTAAATTATGCCCCTCGCCACCTTACACATGCAACTGGATTTCTGCCACAGTCCCTTATCCACTTCCACATCAAAATCTGATGCACATAAGTGGAAATATGGATAATCAGCATTCTACTATACTTATGGGACTTACTGTATAAATTCTTTTAGAAATATTCTACCTTTGCCAGTGGTTTCAACAGAAGAATTCCACATCCTTCTCCTCTCCCATACCCGTTAGCTTTCTTAGAAAATGGTTTGCACATTCCATCTGGAGAGATCATCTTTGCTTTACTGAGTGCTACATTGACACGTGGTTCAATGATGCAGCTCACTCCTCCACAAACAGCCATCTCACAGTCACCTGAAAGAGCAAGGTGGGAATTTTAACCAGTGACTCTATATAAACAGTGCCAGCTAAATAACAGTGCTTTAGAGCGTTAATATGGATTATTATAAGATAATGATTTCTGCAATACGATAGAGGCATGGCTTTCTTCTGCTGTTTGTACATTTGTCACATTAGCATAGAGATAACTCACCTATAATTTGAGGTGCTGAAGCTTTATATAAAAACAATTACCTACCTTTTTATCTGTCCCTACCAGTTACCTCCCATGATGCTGTAAACTGTGCTTCATGATGTGTGTACAATGTATTGATGCAACCACAAAGGTGGTTTCTGGTACCTTGTTTGATGGCCTGAGAAGCGTAGTGTAGAGCGACCAGAGATGAAGAGCACGCTGTGTCTATAGCCAGTGATGGTCCAGTAAAGTTGAAGGTGAACGAAATCCTATTTGCAGCTATGCTCATTGCTGTACCAGTGCCATTATAATGGCTGATTCTGTTGGCTGAATTATTCATTATCGCTTCAAAGTCTCGATTCATGAGCCCTAAAGAAAAGGAAAGACACTGAAACTGTTCTTTTGGAGTGATAACTTTAGTCTATTCTGAGACAATATTGAGTGAGATGTATTAGTGAATAGAAGAGTAGAATCATTTACATTTATGGCACAAAAGAAGGCCATTGTGTCTGTGCCGGCTCCCTCAAGAGCAATCCTTTCAGTCCCATTTGCCTGCGCTTCCCCCATAACTTTGCAACTGACTTTTTAAGATATTTGTCTAATTTCCTCTTGAAGGCCAATATGGATTGTGCTCTGGGCAGAATTGTATCAGTTCCTAACAACTCAAAAAACTTTCTCCTCAATTCCCCATTTGCTCATTTAATATCTTATATTGACGCTTTGAGATGTCTCAACGACATGATAAGGCGCTATATCAAATGCAAGGATTATTTTTTTAATGATTTCTCCCTATTGACTATCAATCATCCGGATGAAGTTCCCCACCTGCTGCCTTGAGCCCCTCTCCACCCAGCTGCTGGTCACTCAACTCCCCCACCTCTCCAAACTGCTCGCCGATACGGTTAACCAGTCTCTCTCCTCAGGCTCTGTTCCACTCCCTTAAAACCGCTGTAATCACACCCCTCCTCAAAAACCCACCCTTAATCCCTATAATCTCTCACACTATCATCCCACTGTGGAGTCCTGTATCTCAGTGGTTGGAGCACCCGCCTTGCAAGCGAGAGAACTGGGTTCTATTCTCGGCAAGACAAAATGTTGGGTAAGTTTCCTTACTCCACACGTCTGTTTACCAAGCAGCAAGTAGGAACCCAGTTGTTAGCCGATTGGCAGACCACATTTCTGGGGATAATAATCCCTTAAGAAAACATAACATGTAGGAGCAGTAGTAGATCATTTGGCCTTTCGAGCCTGTCCCGCCATTCAATCATGGCAGATCTTCTAATCTAACTCAGCTAACCTGACCCTGCCTTATCCCCATATCCCTTAATCCCTTTTGCAATAAGAAACATATCTATCTCAGTCTTGAATATGTTCAAGGACTGAGCGTCAACAGGCTTTGGGGTAGCGAGTTCCATATATTCACCACCCTTTGAGTGAAGAAGTTCTTCCTCAACTCAGTGTGAAAGGGCTGGCCTCTGATTTTAAGGTTGTGACCCCTGGTTTTAGTTTCTCCAACCAGGGGAAACAATCTCTCTCTATCTACTCTATCATGCCCTTTGATGATCTTATAGGTTTCTGTAAGATTCCCTCTAATTCTTCTATATTCTAGAGAGTATAGGCCCAAATTGGTCAGTTTATCCTCATAACTCATCCCCTTCATCCCTGGTACCAACCTATTAAATCTACACTGCACCCCCTCCAAGGCAAGTCCATCCTTCCTTAAATAAGGAGACCAAAACTGCACACAGTATTTCAGGTGTGGTCTCACCAGGGCCCTATACAGTTGCAGCAAGACTTCCCTACTCTTATACTCTAATCCTTTCAAAATGAATACTAACATATCGTTAGCCATTCTAATTGCTTGCTGCACCTCCACTAGTCACATCCCACCAATCTGAAAAAGACCCATTTATTCCTACTCTTTGTTTCCTACCCATTAACCATTCTCCAAACCACATAAATATGCTCCCCCCAATTCCATGGGCCCCTATCTTTTGAACTAACCTTTTAAGCGGCACCTTATCGAATGCCTTCCTGAAGTCCAAATGGACCACATCCACTGATTCGCCCTTTTGACTTGGCCTAATTATATTGTGCTCCTCTAAATACCGCACTACCACATCCTTAATCAATGATTCCAAAATTTTTCCTGATGTTAGACTAACTGGCCTATAGTTCCCATCTTTTCCTTTCCACCTTTTTCAAAGAGTAGTGTGACATTTACGATCTTCCAACCCATGGGGATTGTTCCAGAATCCAAGGAATTTTGGAAGATGAGACACAAGGCCTCCACTATTTCATAAGCTACCTCTTTTAAAACCCTTGGATGCAAGCCATCCAGACCAGGGGATTTGTCACTTTTTAGTGCTAACAGTTTCCCGAGCACCAATTCTCTACTAATGAAAATTTCCCTAGAGTTGATCCCTGTCCTTATCCCTTTGGTGCGTCTCTATTGTTGGCAGACTTGTCGAATTCAAGATCCTCATCCTCACCTACAAGGCCATTGACGGCCTTGCTCCCTCCTACCTCTCTGACCCACTATCCCCCTACCTACCTGTCCGTGCCCTCCGTTCCTCTGGCTCCGGTCTGCTCCACATCCCCCGCCCCAACCGCCCTACCATCGGTGGCCGGGCCTTCAGCCTCTCAGCCCCCAGGCTCTGGAACTCTATCCCCCAGTGCCTTGGCCTTGCTTCCTCCCTTTCCTCCTTCAAGGCCGGTCTCAAGACCTTTCTCTTTGACTGTGCCTTCAGCTCTCCTCTCGACTCTCTACCCCCTCCTCGCTCCCTCCCTTTCCTCCTCTCATCCTGACCATTTCCCCCCAATGCTCAGGTCCTGACCCAACTGTACAGCGCCTTGGGACGTCCTCCCGATGTGAAAAGCGCTCTATAAATGGAATCTTGTTGTTGTTGTTGTCGTCGTGTCTTCTAGGGTGAAGACAGATGCAGAGTACCCAATTAGGGACTCTGCCACGTCCTTATCCCCCATTACAACTTCTCCCGTCTCTGACTGAAGTGGACCTACATTTACCCTCACTAGCCTATTTCTCTTAATGTATTTGTAAAAACTGTTACAATCTGACTTAATGTTCCTAGTTAGCTTACCCTCAAACTCCTTTTTCTCGCTTTAATGAGTTTTTAGTTTTTTTTGACTGGTTTCTAAAACTCTCCCAATCTTCAGGTTTGCTGTTTTTCTTGGCAGTTTTATAAGCTTTTTCTTTTAATTTGATGCTTTCCCTAACTGCTCTAGTTAACCACAGATGACTTGCTTTCCCTGTGTTACTCTTATTCCGCAAGGGAAGATGCGACTGCTGAGAATTATGCACTACATCCTTAAATATTTGCCGCTGTTGGTCTACATTTTTACCTCTTAATTTTATTCTCCGGTCTATTTTACCTAAATCTTTCCTCATATCGACAAAATTAGCCTTATTTAAATTCAGAATACTTGCCTCGGATTTAACTATATCCCTCTCTAAATTAATGCAGAATTCAATCATATTGTGATCACTGTGCCCTGGAGGAGTCTTAATACATACACTACCGACCAGCCCTGTTTCGTTACACAAAACAAGGTCTAGGATGGCCTGTCCCCTAGTTGGTTCCTCGGCATGCTGCTCTAGAAAGTTATCTCTCATACATTCAATGAACTCTTCTTCTAACCTACTTTTGCCGATTTGGTTTTCCCAATCTATGTGGAGATTGAAATCACCCACTATTATCGCTTTACCTTTCCTACATGCTCCACTGATTTCCTGATAGCACCTTGTGCTATATTGTGATCACTGTTTGGGGATCTATAAACCACTCCCATTAATATCTACTGCCACTTATTATTTTTTATTTCCACCCATATTGTCTCTACCTCCTGGTCATCGGATTTCAGATCCTTCCTCTCCACTGCTTTTATTTCATCCCTAATTAACAGGGCTACATCCCCACCTCATTTTCCACAGTGCCCATCTTTCCTGTAAACTGAGAACCCTGGAATATTTAACTCCCACCCTTGATCTCCTTGTAATCATGTTTCAGTGATGGCTACTAGATCGTACCCATACATAGAAAACAAACCAATAATAATTTGATCACTCAATCCACAACTGATTGTGGGACACTGCTGTGCACAATCGGCTGCCATATTTTGCCCACAAATATACAGTTAATTCACCTTACAGTATATTCTGTGAAGCGCTTTGAGACGTCTAGAAGATGTGAAAAGCATTATATCAAATGCAAGGATTTTTATTATTATTTATCAAACTGCTCAGAATTTTAAATACCTCGATCAGATCACCCCACACCATTTTTTGTTCCAGCAGAAAAGTCTCAGTTCCTCCAGTCTCTGCTCATAAAACGAACCATTCATCTCCAGTATCATACTGGTATTTCTCCTCTCTACTCTGTTTATTCCCTTGATGTCTTTCCTAAAATGGTGTGACCAATATTGAACACAATACTCTATTTATTGTCTAACTAACGCTTTAAAAAGTTATCATTACCTCTTTGCTTTTATATTCTGTAGCTCTGTTTATAAAGCCTAAGAATCAATTTTTTTTTGAAAACTTTGTCCACCTGGGCATTGCTGTGTGCAGATTGGCTGCCACATTTGCCTATAAAATACAGTCACAACACATTACAATAAATCTTGTGAAGCTTTTTGCAATTTCCTCCCGACATACAAACACAACAATTATTATTGTTATTCTCATCAAGTTCACCAAAAATCTATTCCATCATAAAGTTAACCCACAACCTCCCTTGGGCCAACAACCAAATGTGGTCCCCATCATCATTTTAATTGAGGCCCAGGAATTAGGTGATGATGAATTATGATAAATATTTCATGAACTGACAAAATCACATGTGGTTCCAAAATTGGCTATTATGTTGGGCAGCGGGCACCTACTCACCAATAAAAACTCCTGTTTTACTCCCACTGAGATCCTCCTTGGGCATCCCTGCATTTTCAAGTGCTTTGTACGTGCACTCCAAGAGAAGCTTGTGTTGTGGATCCATGCAGTTGGCTTCTGTTTCATTTATGCCAAACAACTTATAATCAAATAAATTGAACCTATTAATTGCAAAGAAATATGAAAGTTTGTGTTAGGCATATATAGATGCATTAACATTATTATTTTTTAAGGGGCCTGAGGTTCAACATTTAATATTTTATTTAAACATTTTGTATGTAGCTTGAGCTCAAGCTGTCAGAGAACACTTCTTAGTCCAGGGCACACAAAGCATCCTGGAGTTCCCACATGGCACACATTATGAATGCAACCAGTCTCAGCTGCCCTGCCATATTCCCAGACATGTTTTATATTGTTTTAATATGAATATTACATAATTATGCACCTCTTTACCCCTTTACACCAAATTCCCACTCTCACCAAATTCCTTAACAGATTCTCACTCTGTTCCTTCCTCATTCTGCTCGGCTTTCTGCTCAAGTGAAACACTTACAAGTCTTCTCCTTTATATAGGACTCAAACTAAAAGACCCAGTTTCAACTGGTCAGCAGATTTTTTATTCCCCAACACCTAGCCTATGATTAATTGCAAATCGCCTTGTTTGCTTGCTTACATATAAGGTTGTCTCAACCTCACAATAGATTTTCCACTCTTCTGCTGAGTGAAAGAGTTCACTCTTGCTCTCTGGTATCTCTCTTGCTGAAGAATTCCCACTATCATCAAATTCCTTAACAGAATTCTCACTCTGTTCCAACTCCCTCAGTTCCCTCCTCACCTGCTGGGCTCTCTGCTCATGTGACAAACATGAGACAAGTTGCATAGCATAATATGTATGAGCAGGAGTAGGCCATTCATCCCTTCGAGCCTGCCACGCCATTCAATTATGGCTGATCTTCTAATGTAATTCCAGCTAATAACCTAATCCTGCCTTATTTCTATATCCCTTAATCCCTTTTGCAATAAGAAATATATCTATCTCAGTCTTCAATATGTTCAAGGACTGAGCGTCAACAGCTCTTTGGGGTAGCGCGTTCTATACATTGCGTTCTAGAAATTCTTGGAAGTAGTTATAATGTAAAATTGATCAGATAACTCATCCTATAAGATGGCATGTTGGAATGCAGAGGCCTCCGGCTCTATCCTGTGACTGGCGTGGGCGCTCAGAGGACGTTGGGTATGGATGCTCAGATGCTTCTCAGAAGTCTATTGGAGGGCCGAGACCTCTATTAATACCACTGATAGTTGTAGTCATGGCTTCCTGCCACGTCTCCTGTCGTATTCTGTGACAGGATAGAGCGGGAGGCAACAGAACAGCCATCCAATGCAACCAGGGGGGTGTGAAGGGATTTATAGTTCAGATTGAGAACCTTGAACTCAATCCGTTGAGAGCCAGGAGAGACTGGGTTAATGAACGATATGGAGTTTGGTGCAGGTGAGGATGTGGGCAGCGGTGTTTTGGATGAGAGTATCCACTCACACAAAAAAGTACTTGTTTTGCAGCAACAAATATTACTATTCTGAATCAATTTAAAAGATGTAGTTTGTAAGAATGCTGTGCATTACCCTTCAATGAGAGACGCTCGCTTTGTGCGCATTTTTCCAGGCTTGTTGTCATCGGGATCATGCCAGAATTGTGTATCAAAACGATCTGGTGGGATATCCACAACGCAGTTTCTTCCCTCATGAAGAACTTTCCAGAAGTTTTCAGTGCCTTCCCCTGTACAGACGACAACAGAATAAAGCTCTTCCATTCTTAGAAATCATTCTGGAATGTATGTCATAATATTAGTAAATGTGTATTGATACCACTGAGTATCTGATTTCTTGCCTCCAGAACTCCCTCACTCTACCCTTCTATCTAGCCCCTCTCTATCTGTCTTCAAATCCTGCCTAACATCCTACCTCTTTGACCAAACCTATGGTCACCTCCCCTTCTTTCCCTCATTTGTTTAGCATCTTTGGGAATCGTTCTGAGATATTATGAAAATAATAATAATAAGAGCCCTTTATGAATGCAAGTTCTTGTTGTTACACCAGATACGGCTCCTGGAGAAGCGAGAGCGCAAGCTTTCCTTCTTCTTTTGTGAGCCTGGACAGTAACTGGTAGCAGCTGTTCAACTATAGGGTTAGCCCCACCTGAGCCTGACACAACCTAAATTTAACACAGCAACAAAGTCAGGACTAAAGATCTTAGTCCAGATTAACACACAAATGCAATGCTGGAGGAGTTTTCATTGTGGGAGGTGCCATGCTTTGAATGAGACGTTAAACCGAGATAATGTCTGCCTGCTCAGGTGGAAGGATCCCAAGGCACGATTCAAAAAAGAGAATGGAGTTTCTTCCGGTTTCTTGGTCTACAATTCCCAGATAAAATAATTGATCATTCACTTGATGTAGGATATTGCCATTCACAAATTGTCAAAATGGATTGTTGTTTCAGAGCCACCAGAGACACAATGAGCTGTATCCCATTGTCGAGACATCTCAAAGTGCTTCATAGAATGTGATGTGTAGTGACTGTTTGAAATGTGGTGACTATATTTTGTAGGCAATGTCCCACAAACAGCCATGAAGTGAATGACCAATTGTCGGTCAGTAGACCAGAAGAAACTTACAATTTACAATTTGATATTTGCAATATCAGGTATTATTGGGAATTTAGAAAACAAACTTAGTGAAATTTGTAGGAATCTCACAATTCAATATTTGCAAATGAAAGTTTCAATTAACCCACAACCAATCTCTGGGTTGAAATTATGGCATATTGGACCCCATTCTCACTAACTGTAGCTTCCTATCACTGCCCCAGTTGAAAATGAATGTTCTTACAGACGCTAAAAGTTCCTGCTAGATTCCATGTGGTTTTATTATTTATCATCATAACATCATTCTTTTCATCATTTTTATTATTGTTAAATCTTAAATTCCTACCTCCAGGAAAATTGCATCCAATTCCAACAATAGCTATTTCTTCGTTGTTTTCATCCATTTTGTATTTTTTGCAGTTGACCCCTATTGCAAACTAATGAAGGGAATCATAACACAAAAAGGAATCAAATATTTTGGGGTAAGTATACCAGGCTGAGCTAGGTTCAATCATTACAGCAATATTTAGGCAACGCTATTAACAAGCCACAACATCTTTTACACCTGTGCCATATTCCTGTAAAATCTTCTAGATTCACAATGTGAATGCAGACAATGCTGCGAGAGAAAGCATTTGTTTAAAGCCCACACATCCCAACAGTTTGCCATTGCAGAATGTTTTGCAGCATAAACATTATACCAAAAAATCTGAATTCTCTATGTGCCTCAGTCCAGTCCTTTATTTCCCAGCGCTGTTGCTGAAGGCAGTCAGGACGCAATGCCTCAATATAAACAGGGAGCGGCATTTCCCTTCACATCGAGAGGTGGTGTTCAGGGAACTAACAGAAGCAGCGACAACATCAGGACAAATCTGAACAATTCCCACCACCAGAACCATAGCTCTCAACATATGTAGGTGGAGAACACAGCCATACACTTCATATAGAGACGGGCAGTAGGAGCTCCAATGGGAGTACATTTAACCTGGAGAGTGCTCAGTGCTAAGTCCCACACTGGAGTGTTGCATTTCACAGAACAAACCTCTCACACTGATCAGAACGACATTAACTAGAAAAATAAATCAATGTAATTACTGCCCCTTTTCTACAAAGTATGTCACTCCTTTTGGTTACCAGTGTTTGTAAGTGAAAGCAACAACAACAACAACAAGATTCCATTTATAAAGCGCCTTTCACGTCAGGAGGACGTCCCAAGGCGCTGCACAGTTGGGTCATGACCCGAGCAGGGGGGAAATGGTCAGGGTGAGGGGAGGGAAGGGAGGGAGCGAGGAGGGGGGAAATGGTCAGGGTGAGGGAAGGGAGGGAGCAAGGAGGGGGAAATGGTCAGGGTGAGGGGAGGGAAGGGAGGGAGCGAGGAGGGGGAAGAGAGTCAAGAGGGGAGCTGAAGGCACGGTCAAAGAGAAAGGTTTTGAGACCGGCCTTGAAGGAGGAAAGGGAGGAAGCAAGGCGAAGGCACTGGGGGATGGAGTTCCAGAGCCTGGGGGCTGAGGGCTGAAGGCCCGACCACCGATGGTAGGGCGGTTGGGGCGGGGGACGTGGAGCAGACCAGAGCCAGAGGAACGGAGGGTACGGGCAGGTAGGTAGGGGGATAGTAGGTTGGAGAGGTAGGAGGGAGCAAGGCCGTGAATGGCCTTGTAGGTGAGGATGAGGATCTTGAAATCAAAGGTGAGGATGAGGATCTTGAAATCAAAAGCACACTTTTAGAGCACTTGTCTTGCAAGTTCGATTCCTGGTGGGGCGAAATCTTTGGCCAGTTTCCTTACTCCACACTCCTGATAATAATCCCTCAAGAAAAAAATCAATAATAATTTGGTCACTCAATCCACAACTGTTTGTGGGACACTGCTGTGCGCAATTGGCTGCACACTATTAGAGACCATGTGTGTGTTAAATCACCAAGGGTTCAGCAGTTAACTCCTTTGGCTCCTATTTTACGAGACAATAAGTTCCGTTGATTTCTTACCTACTAACCGTTCAAACGCCTGGAGTTTCAGCTGCATTCAAAAATCATGCAAATCACTTGTCTGTGACCTCTGCCACCAATAACTTTCTAAAGGATTCTCATATGCAAAATCTTCTGTTAGAAATAGATGTTACAATTATAAACCAGTGTATGTTGTAAAATTCTCAGTTTCTATGAAACTCACAATACTGAGTAAAAATAACTTAACTTGGATTCATGTTTATTTAAAAATATATATAATTTGGAACATAATTTAGATTCAAATACAGTTATACTCATGTCTAAAGCTCAAATTATTTTTGCAATCATATTTGCTATTGATTCCTGAACAACATGCACATAATCTTAAATCAAGTCAACACAATTTTCATTACATTGAGCCTTTCACGTTAATATAAAAGTATTGGCTGGGCTTCTGAGATGAAGAAAAATAAACATGAAACTGTTTCAATGATCATTGCAAACCAGATAGTATTTTGAGATGTCAATATCATTTTACTGTTTTCATCAAAGCTTCATTTCTTTTTAAAAACAAAACCAAAAGTGATTTTAATTTATGAAGATAAAATGCAAGAAAGTATTAAGCTAAACGATGGTAGTACATTGCAGACACACAGTCCTTCACACATAAAATTCACAACGACAGCAACAGAAAGCGATCCAAAACGCTCCATGTGTAAGTTTAACATAATATTTGAAATAAAGTGCAAAATTGCCATGAAGGAACTTACTCCATGCAAATATTTTCCATCAACCAGCTCCTTGAAAAAATTCTGAATAAAGTTATTACTGATTTGGTTTTTAAAGCTCTTACCTCATATTCTATCTCTGATGTTGCTGTCTGTCTTTGTCATGAGCATGAACTGGTTTCTTTTATACTATTCCACAAATACCTATGTATGATTAGCATAATACCAACGACGATCAGGAAGTATGTAATTCTTGGAATAATTAATTTGGATCATTCAACTTATAATGCCTCCTGCCTGTAATAGCTTACATATTAAAAACATCTCAAAGTGCTTCACAGAATATACTGTGAAATTAATTAACTGTATATTTTCTGGGTGCAAAATTGTGGCAGCCAACTGCACGAAAGTGTGGATGAGGGTCTTGCCAACCTGAGGGAAGAGGTAGTGGCAGAGGTGGGCAATGTCGACATTCAACTGGAGGAAATTATCTCTCATTCAGGAGTTGATGGCTGACAGACATTCTGCCAGGACAGCAGTGGTCCCGGAGTCGAGAATGGAGGCAGAGATATAGAGGTGGGTGTCATCCGCATGCATACATGTGAAAGTTAGGCATGGAGGCTACACGGAGGACACTTTTCCAACAACAGGGCTGCTCAGGTACAAGTTACATACACAATAACAACAACTTGCATTCATGTAGCACCCCTTATACAGGGTATGGTACCAGAGTGCTTCACAACGGCAGAGCTCTTGCCTGTCATAATATTAACATATTAAGAATATTCCCATCTATGAGTCATAGAGCACTTGCAAACTGTTTTTTTCACCACCCTACAAATGGTCCCGGCTGGTGTTCGGCAGTAAATGTTGCCCTTGAACATAATTCCAATAATAATAATAAGACTAATCCTTGCATTTGATATAGTGCCTTGTCACTTCTTCTAGACCGCCTTGACCCGGTGATCACCCGGGGCCTCACCATCTCGGACATCATCATCATCGATAAAGCCACCACTTCATCTTCCTCATCACCTCCATACCCCTTCCCTTTTCTCAACCCTCCACTATCACACACCGTATGTGGGGAAAAAAAGTACCTCCGTCTTCCTCTCCACTGCCCTGGAGTCATCTGAACTCCTCCACCTCTGGTCTTCCCTGACCCTCCCCTCCTCACTCTCTTTTCTCCACAACTCCCTCTCCATTCTGGACTCCCTCGTCCCTCCCTCACCTCCAGAACTGCCTCATACTCACGTAAATCCCCCTCTGGTACACCAGCCATCTCCGTTCCCTCAAGGCAGAGGGCAGTAGCAACAGTCAATATGATTTTTCCACGGAAGGATAATAATTATCAGTAACCTTGTATGTGTACACAGGGTGTGATGTTCACTGGGTTACAAGTCTCAGTTGAACATTAGTTCACAAACCGGAGGCACAGAGTCAGGGACCTGCCTTCAGTCGAATGACACACTTCCTGTACAGGTGTTATTTTACACATCAATGTATTGGCTTTAATCCGAGAGAGCTTCAGTCTGCTGACTGCCCAGTGTAGACCATGGCTCGGTGTCACACTGACTGTCTGGAGAAACCTCTCTGTAAAGTGTTCGGGAAGTTGGGAGCCCTCGTTGGGCGATATCCATGGTGGTTTTTGGTGATTCCTCTGATCATTTCTGTAGCTCTCGGCTCAGGGTTTTATTTCTTTGAGCAAAATGAAGCGAATGACATAGAGGAGCAGTTCACTCCTATTCACGGTCAGGCAAAGTCTGAGAGAGAGTTTATTATGAAACACTTTCCAACTCATGATTCTCTGCCCTTCTCGGCGCCGAGGCTCTACACAGAGGGGACCTTTGCTTCTTTCATCGCTGTTGCTAAAGGTGGCAGCGTCCTCACAGAGGCAGCATTTAAAGAGATTCTGCGGCTCGATGGGGAAGTTAAAGGGTTTGTTGTTGATAAGAATAACTATTCCAGTCTTTGTGCCAAAGCAGGAGATTCCTGCTTCTCCAATGTAATCTTAGACTGTATACAGTACGATGCTGGTCAAGTGGAGAGCTTTAAATTTACTTATCCCGTCCAGAATAGCACAGAATGTAGTGGTTTCATTGGTTTGTCTGTGGGGGGAGTGAAGTTAGAGGGAAATAATATTAAAACAGCTTCTGCCGTTAGACTTGATTATTATTTACGAGATGACGACGCAGCAGAAAATGTAGTTTACGAGCAGTGGCTGAAGAAGTTTGTTGAAGATTTTCAAAACAAATCGACAAATCTGCAGTATATTCAGGTCAGTGACAACAACGACATGTCTCAGTGCACACGTTACTCATTGCAATCGCTTGTTGACAATCCTCTGCATCTCCAGTCACCTCAGTCTTTGCTCCTCGTTTCGTGTTTAAGTCTACAGTCAGTAAATATACTCAGTTGTCAGACAGACAGTTGTCACTTGCTGTGTGTCTTACTCCTCATGTGGAGCTTAACCAGACCAAGTGTTTGATAAGGAAATAGCTGACACATACTGGAATTAATTTGGAATTAGTGACTGCTCTATTCCTCCAAGTCGTGTCGCTCAGTGGTTCGAGCTCTCGTCTCGCAAGCGAAGACCCCTGGGTTCAGTTCCGGGCAGGAGGCGAAACCTTGGGCAAGTTTCCTTACTCCACACACCTAATAATAATAATAATCGCTCCAAAAAACAAAACAATAGTAAACTGGTCATTTTCAATTCACGACTGTCTGTGGGACACTGCTGTGCGCAATTGGCTGCCATGTTTCACCCACAAATATACGGTCAATTCACTTTACAGCATATTCTGTGAAGCGCTTTGAGATGTCTAGAAGACGTGAAAAGTGCTATATCAAATTATTATTATTATTATTATTATGTCCACAAACCAGGCTGTCTGGTCTGACTCAGAAGTGACTTGGAGAACTGCAGATCCCCTGTTTCATGAACTGGACTACCAAGACCACCATAGAGGGGTCACCTCAACTCTAAGGAGACCCCACTTACCGCCCTCCCACAAGCAGGCTGTCATGTTTGGCCGACAAATACACAGTTACTACACCTGAAGGAAAACCCTGTGAAGCACTTTGAAACATTTTAAAAATGTTAAGACGCTATATCAAAGACAAGGATTATTATCACTATTAGTAACTAATATGCTGTAAATATTTCCTAATTTCCGTTACAGGTTTCATATTACACTTCCGTATCAAGACAGACAGAGTTTGAAGGAAGCACCAAAGAAATCGTACCACTATTTTCAATCACCTATTTCCTTTCAATATTCTTTTCCATTGTGTCTTGTACGAGGTAAAGTTCTTTCTCTATTAAGTAAAGTTGGAATTCATTTTCATTGACTTACTGTGTGACATTAAGGTAAAAATGTATTATGTTACAGAAAGTGGTGCCATTTATTTACAGGTTGGACCCTATAAGGAATAAGTTCTGGGTGGCTGCTCTGGGAGTGATATCAGCTGGATTAGCTGTGCTCACAGGCTTTGGACTGCTGCTGTTTTGTGGGGTTTCATTTGCCATCAACACAGCTAATGCACCATTCCTCATTCTCGGTTAGTATCATTTTGACATTTCTTTAGTAGACTCTCGTCTCCAAGAGTTCAAGTCCCACATTCGGAGTCCTGTAGAGTATGTGGAGTCCTGTAGCGTATTGATTAGAGCACTCGATTCACAAGAGAGAGGAACTTGGTTCAATTCCCGGGCAGGGCAAAATATTGGTCGTTTCCTTACTCCACACACCTCTGTTTACTACGCAGTACATAGGAACCAGGTTGTTAGTCGATTGGCGATTTGCTTTTCCAGGGATAATAATCCCTTCAAATATCAAATAAAAAATATAACAATTTGGTGAGTCACTCCACTAAATTTGTGACACACAATTGGATGCCAGGTTTCACCCACAAAATATCCATTGAATTTAGAAGGTTTAGGGGTGATTTGATTGAGGTATTTAAGATGATAAAGGGATTTGATAGAGTAGATACAGAAAAGCTAAACCCCCTCTGGTGGGGGAATCCAAAACAAGGGGAATAACCTTGAAATTAGAATCAGGCCATTTAAGAGAGAAATCCGGAAGTATTTTTTCACTCAAAGAGTGGTAGAAATCTGGAATTCTCTCCCCCAAAAGGCCATGGATGCTGGATCCATCCACACCTTCAAAAGTGAGGTTGATAGACTGTTGGATGGTCAGGGTATTAAGGGATATGCGGAGAAAGCGGGAAATTGGAATTGAAAGGCTGAGTTGAGGTGCAGATCAGCCATGATCTAATTAAATGGTGGAACAGGCACGAAGGGCTGATCGGCCTCCTCCTGTTCCTATGTTTATATGTTTCTACAGTCAATTCACTTTGTAGTATATTCTGTGAAACTCTTTCAGATGTCTTGAAGGCACTGTATCAAATGGAAGGATTATTATTATATTATTCACACTTTCTAAGATGATACTCCAGTGCAATCTGTTCTGGGAGAGGTGCATTGTTGGAGGTGCCGTCCTTCAGATAAGCGAATTAGCTTTTCTGATAGATGTTAAAGATCACATGGCACGATTCAAAAAGAGAAGGGAATTTCTCCCCATGTCCTGACCAACAATCCCCCAAATAAAACTGACAATTCACTTCATGCTGTGCGCAAATTGGCTGCTGAGATCCCTACAAAGCACAGTCACTGCACTTTACAGTATATCCTGTGAAGCGCTTTGGGACAGAGACGCATAGAGAGACAGAGAAAGACAGACAGAGAAAGGGAAAGAAACAGGAGCCATAGAAAGTTACAGCACAGAAGAAGCAATTTGACTCCTCATGTCTATGCTTCTTTTAAAATGCAACCCATTAAGTCCCTTTTACCAGATTTTCCCCTATTACTCCTCCAGATTACTTACACGCTTTCTAAGTTTACGCGTGAGTTTAGTGAAGTCTTGTTGGTTTCTCTTAAGGGGGAGGAGAGGAGGGTATTGTTTTTAATTAAATCTTTTTGCTAAAATGTTTAATGCCATTGGTGGGAAAGAGTTTTCTTTTTTAAAAATCAGCATTTGGAGTCCTGTAACTTAGCGGTTAGAGCATTCGCCTCGCAAGCGAGAGGACCTGGGCTCGATTACCAAGAGGGCGAAACATTGGGCAAGTTTCCTTACTCCACACCCCTCTGTTTGCCGAGCAGTAAGTAGAAACCCGATTGTTAGTTCATTGGCCGATTGTTTGACCGGGGGTAATAACTCCATCAAAATAAATAGAAAATAATTTGGTCCCTCAATCCACGATTGTTTATGGGACACTGCTGTGTGCAATTGGCTGCCGCGTTTTGCCCACAAAATATATAGTCAATTCATTCAGGGTATATTCTGTGAAGCGCTTTGAGATTTCTCAAAGATGCGATAAGGCGCAATATCAAATGCAAGGATTGCTGTTTTTAGATATCTATCTGACTGCTGAAGATATATATCTAGCTTAGATACCACCACACATGATAATTCTTGATAGAATTTTTTTTAGTTAGCACAATAACTAGTTTGTATTTTGCGTGATGTTCAACTATACACATTGTTTGTTTATCCACACAGGGACCATGTCCAGATTTTTCATGAGCCAATATTGGTACCATTTTAGATAATGCACACAAATAGCCTTACCGTAGATGGAGCACTTGAAGGTCTTATCTGCAGAATTTGGCAGAGATTTCTTCTGTCAATATTTTTCAGTCTTCAAATCACACATTTTTAAATCCCATATGTTACTTTATCAACTTTTGAGATCTGCAATAATGTTTTTTGAAGATCTTAAGACTGATCTGTCACTTTACATGTTTTTAATTTACAGGTATTGGTGTTGATGACATGTTCATTATGCTCTCCAGTTGGCAGAAGACAAAGGTTCATGCTAAAATCGAAGATCGCATGGCAGCCACATATGCTGAAGCTGCCGCTTCCATTACCATAACGACTCTGACTGATGTGATAGCCTTTTACATTGGTGTCATGACACCTTTTCGATCTGTGCAGTCATTTTGCTTGTATACAGGTACTACCGTTTTGTTCTGCTTCATTTACAACATTACATTTTTTGGGGCGGTTCTGGCACTGAATGGGAGAAGAGAAAACAGTAACAGGCATTGGCTGACTTTCAGGAAGATTCAAATGCACCATCAACCAGGAGAATCGAAATTCTATGGAATGTGCTGTGTTGGTGGGGAGTATGATGAGATGTCCGGTGCTGAAACAGAGCATCCAATTTATCTCTTCTTTAAGAAATATTATGGCCCATTCCTCACCAATATATGGACCAAGGTATTTGTGGTACTGCTGTATGCAGGGTATTTGGCAGGTGGTATCTATGGCTGTTTCCAGTTACAGGAAGGATTTGATCTTAGAAATCTGGCCACTGACAATTCATATGTGATTAAATTCTATGACCATGAAGATATGTTTTTCTCACAATATGGACCTCGGGTCATGGTATCAGTCTCAGAATCAGTGGACTATTGGAACACCAGTGTTCAGACTGAAATTGAACGCTGTATGGGCAAATTTGAAAATAACATTTATGTCGATCGAGAGCTATCAGAGTCTTGGCTTCGAACATACATTGACATTTCTAAACTGATGTCTATTGATATAACGGCGTCTGATTCCTTCATAACAAATTTACCTAAATTGTTTAAGATTGTCCCTTTGTTTCAACAAGATATTGAACTCTCACAAGATAATAAAAGCATAACAGCATCACGGTTTTTTATTCAGACCAAAAATGTCAATGACTCAATTGCCGAAAAAAACATGATGACTGAACTGAGAGATCTGGCCGAGAGCTGTACAATCCCTTTACAAGTGTATCATTCAGCGTTCATTTACTTTGATCAATATCTTGTTATACAGATCAACACAATACAGAATGTGGTTGTGGCAGCAGGTGCAATGCTGGTTGTTGCCTTGTTGTTAATTCCGAATCCAATTTGTTCTGTGTGGGTGACATTAGCTGTCGCCTCTATTTTAGCTGGTGTGGCTGGTTTCATGGCTCTGTGGGATGTTAATCTAGACTCCATATCTATGATTAATCTGGTTATTTGTATTGGGTTTTCAGTTGACTTCACAGCCCATATTTCCTATGCATTTGTTTCCAATGAGAAAGCAAGTGCCAATGAACGTACCATCGAAGCATTGTACACTCTTGGCTATCCCATTATCCAGGGGGCGCTCTCCACTATTCTGGGTGTTGTTGTGTTGGCTGCTGCAAACATTTACATATTTCGGACATTTTTCAAAATCATGTTTCTTGTCATATTGTTTGGTGCAATTCATGGCATCGTATTTATGCCGGTGTTTCTGACATTTTTTGGAATATGTGGCAAGCGAAAGGTTAACAAAGGAAAGGAGATACCCATTGGAATGGGAAGTACTACAGAGAAGCAGTTGAGTATTGATGCGTTTTAGACTTGACATCTTCTCCCCCTCCCTTGCCTCCTTCAAGACCCATCTCAAGACCCTCCTCTTCAACCATGCCTTTGGTCACCCTCCTTCGCCCCCTGCCCTTCACTTCCTCGATCCCGACCCCCAGCTTGGGTCCAAAACACTGATTGTCCACCGCCTTGGAACGTCCTCCTGATGTGAAAGGAGCTATACAAATGTAATTTTCTGCTCTGTACGTTTCCATACTTAAACTGCTCTGGGTTTAGACCAAACACATGAGATAATCAATACAATGTTTTTGTACTTAACCCAATATTACATTGCATTACACAGCTCCTATATTTTTTCATCATAATACTGCAATTGTTTTTACACTGGACACACAAGAGAATAAGATGGAATTGTTTCATAGGGTTTATTGTAAAGTATTGTGCCTGTGCATTTTGTAGAGAAAACCCTATAAAATATTCTCACAGACTCCATGAATTTTTTTTGCTTATCACAGCTTATTGTCCTCTTTATTGTCGCATTAATGACTATCTGAGGTCCAAAATTTTCAACAACAACTTTATATAGCGCCCTCCACGCCGGACGGCGTCTCAGAGAGCTTCACAGTAACGGATCCTGGGGCCAAGCCAGGGGGAGGGGGTGAAGGTGACCAAAGGTGTGGTCGAAAAGAAAGGTCTTCAGCAGGGACCTGAAAATAGGAAGGGAGAGAGCAAGGTGAAGGAAGTGAGGAAGGGAATTCCAGAGCATCGGGGCATAGTGGCTAAAGGCACGGCCACCGAGGGTGGAGCGGAGGACTCGGGGGACGAGGAGGAGGCCAGACCCGGAGGAACGAAGACATCGGGCACTGTTTTGAGGAGAGAAGAGGTCAGAGAGGTCGGGGGGTGCAGAGGAGTGCAGGGACTTGAATACAAGGGTAAGGATCTTGAAGTTGATCCTCTCTGGATAGGCAGCCAGTGCAGTCTGGCAAGGACTGGGGAGATCGGAGAGTGGAGTTTGGTGCGGGTGAGAATGCGAGCGGCAGAGTTTTCAATGATCTGGATTTTATGGATGGCAGTGGATGCGAGGAGGGCATTCATGGTTTTAATCTGAAGATCATCGTCTTAAAATGCAAGTTCCCGCAGAATTTTTGAAGAAATGGAATATTCAGAACAACTGGCATTCAAATTAATAAACAAAAATTAAATTTGAAATTAAAATTCAGGTTTAATTTGTGATCCATTTTCTGCAGGGTATTTTTAAGCACTGTTTCTGGAAACAATTTTGAATTTTAAGACAATGGTCTGAAGGGTGCTTTCTATTGTAAAAGACCTATTCCCTATCAAGTTTGTTTCGTTCAAACGGTGTATTATCTGGACTCCAATCTGCACATTTAATATTCTAAGGAAATGTTCACAAGTATGTTCCCGTCTCCCAAAGTTAATCGAAGCTAAAACTCTAGAATATCGACCTAACCATATCACCTGAAACCATATTCATGGAATTGTATCAAGAGCAGCTCAATATATTACTTCCAACTTTTGAACATTTTCTAGAGTTACATTGTACACTCTACACTGCACTATTTCCAGATTGATGTATTTTGATGTTTTGTTTGCAGTTGAAAATATAAGGACCAACATATTTGCTGTTAAGAAAATATTTGTTCATCTAGTTGTGAGAATTGTAAGATTAACATTTGTAATAATTGTAATTGTAATAATTTTGCAATGAATTTCAATGTATATTGTGAACACAAATTTGCATAGTTACATAGATAGCGGGCAAAACATTTTCAATGGAAATACTGATTTATATACTTTGAAATGCAGAGGTTTTGTTAATCTTGTCAAGCATTTAAAAGTGAATACCAATGATACTGAGAAAACAGTGAATTTTGACTTTCTATCTACTATGAAAGATTTGTATTATATGTAAATTATCTAAATCTGCTGATGATACCAGTCTGGGGCAGTTACACAGTAGCTGGAAAAACACAGAGGGATTGATTACTTCAGAAGTAGCCTCACAAGGCGAGCGTTCATTTCATGCAGATCAATTCCATTTGATGAGATTGAGGTCGGAGAATAAACAGTGGGAATACGAAATTAAGGATCTTGGTAGACAGGGGAGTAAACAAGAGAGGGATTTGTGGGACAGGTGGAGGCAGATTATGTCAGCCCTTTCATGAGGGATTTAGTAACTATTTGGCAAATACATTGATTAAGGTATTTAAGAAATAGAGTAACATATGATTTTTTTCCATGGGACTGGTCAGGTGGTCTTTTCATATCCTGTCTACTTTTCTGCACTTAGATTCTGAATAACGGTCAATGTTAAATCCATTGAATTCTGCTTGGGTGCATGTCTTTTTAAAGTTCTCTTTTTAATATTAATCTTTATATATGTTTCTATATATGTTTGTGTTCATTTGAAATTGTATGTCAAGAACATATTGTTCATTGTTTGTTGAATAAAAGCTTACGGAACAAAGATTCTTCCATTTTCACAGAAAGTTCTGTCTTTCTTCATCTCTGCAACATTGCTCATCTTTCTCCACTACCTAACACCAAATACTGCCAAAATCCCCTTGCAGTGTGACAACCTAGTTTATAGCTTCACTAGTTATCCCGTACGTTTACAATGAAGTGACTATGGTTATTTTACACAGAGTTAATGTTTAATATATCATGCTCCCAAACAACCTGGCTCCTTCATTTATCTGTTCCATGAATTATTTTATGTAACCTTTACAAAATATCTCTGAAATATAACATTAGGAACATAAAGGTAAAACATTAACTTTTACTCGAGCTTATAAATATTAATAACAATATTAAAGTACAGATGGATTAGTTTGTCATAACTTTAAATGCTATAATTTCAATAAAATAGATTGTGCAACTGATATGGAGCCTAACCTGCCCACTTTCTATGGGATGTGAAACACAATGCTGTCCCTGCAACTGGTGTATCTTCCTCTTCCCCACCCTACACCCCCAGCACTCACGTCTTCTGCCTCTGTCCTCACACTTTTACCCTCTTCTCTCTCTTGTCCCTCTCCACCCTCACAACCCACCTGAAACCTATCACTTGCTCCCTTGACCTCCTCTCCTCACCAAACTGCTGCCTGTCCATCCTCCGCTCCCTGCTGGTGGCTATAGTCAAGCTGTCCCCGTCTTCTGGCGCTGTCCCCTCTCCCTCAAAGCCACCGTCATCACCAACAACAATAACAACTTGCATTGAGGGGTAGCGTCTCCAAAAGTGCTTAGAACTGGCAGAGCCTGAATCCGAGCAAGAGGGAAGTGACCATAAGCATGGTTGAACAGGAATATCTTTGCAGGAACAGCAAGATAGGGAAGTAGGGGTAAAGACGGAGAGATTGTGGGCAAGAGTTCCAGAGGTCGCTGGCATATTGGCTGAAAGCATGACTGCCGATGGTGGAGCAGAGGGGATGAGGAATCAGCAGGAAGTCGGAGCCAGCCAAGCCGAGGCGGCAGGCGGCGGAGTGAAGAGTAAGCATGTCGGACAGACAGGGAGTTGCCAGGGTATGAAGGGATTTGCAGATGAATGTGAGGATCTTGGTCAATCCTTTCTGTGATTGGGAGCAGGTGAAGATTGGTGAGGACTGATGGGATGGGGATATGGAGTTTAGAGCTGGTGAGTATACGGGAAGTTTTAAGTTAGTTGGATTTTGAAGGTAGTGGAGCTGGGGTTACTGGGGAGCAGGTCATTGGAGTAGTGGGGACAGGAATGTGACAAGAGCGTGGACTCCTCTTTCCCTTCTCTAAAAAACAACCCTTGATCCCTCCAAACTCTCCAACTATTGGCCCATCTCCAACCTCTTTCCTAACCTGGAATGCTTTACTGCCACTCCCACCCTCTCTTTGCACTCCCTGTCTCCTCACTTCTGGCTCTGACATCCTCAACTTCCCTGGCGTCTCTCTCAAACACATCAACCCAATGGAAACTTTGGTGTTCAGGTTAATCCTCAGCTCTCCTTCCCTAATATTTGATCCCTGAACAAGACTGCTACTCTTCATCTCAGCCACATTTCTCGCCAACCCCCTTCCTCCTAACTCACAATAAATGTCACCAAATCATATCTTGGTTACCTCTCACCTTGACTTTTCTAACATACTCCTGACTGATCTCACTGAGCTCCAATTCATCCAAAATACCACCATTGACAACTCACCTGCACGAAACACAACATACACTAATATTATTATTATTACAATAAACCTTTCCTATGTTCAAAGTTACATGTCCCATTGCAGTTGCCAGCTCTTAAGGTTTCGGACAAGAAAATTATGTCAGAATTATTTGATACCACTGAGTTTTAGGAATAGACAGTTCATTTAGTTTAGGGGAAGACCTCAGTGGTGTCTCAGCATCCCTGGCAGGGACAGATATTACTCACTGTCACTGTAAGTGGTTAGTATTGCAGACCCCTCTTATGCCTCACTCTCACCCGCAGTTTCCCTCCCATCTCCATCACAACTTATAGCACTGAATCTACGCACTTGGAAGGAGGTTGTGCAGGTTAACGGTCTATCACAGTGTCCGTGGCGGCTCCGGCTTGCCCATGTGTGTCGACCCCAGACTTCATTTGTTCTTCCCAGCCCTGCACACAAGGCTGCAGATACAGTTACATCACTGAGTCTGTGGCAGATCCGGCTTGGCCAGGTGTCTAGGTCTGACACCTTTCGTTCTTCCTTGGCCTGTGCCAAAGGCTGCAAGAACTCCTCTAGTGAAAAGCGCTATATCAAATGCAAGGATTATTATTATTATTAGTCCTGAAGAAAGAGAAAACACAGAAAGAATTGGACAAAAGCTTTTATACTGCTCAGGCTCTCCCTCCCCACCAACCAGGACAGTCTAAGGCCCCTTTATAACAAACTCATTACTTAGCGGACCCCAAATTGCCAATCCCAAAACTCTGTTATATTAGTAAAAAAGTTGCTGAATCAGATGTATACTAATCACAGTTTCATGAAATGTTCAAGATTATGAAGAATGACAATACGGTGAATTAGATTTTTTGAGACGTCTTCCTGATGT